TTCAAATTGGTGACCCCGGATACGAACAGTAAGTAAAAAAAAAAAAAAAAGCAATAAACATACGTATATAGTTCCTTGCAAAATTGTTCCTATAGTAAATATTACATAGAAAAAATGGAGAAAGTTATTTTCAGCCCGCAAGCCATTGGGAGTGAGATTGAGGGTTTACATAACGCGTTAGTAAACATCAACTCGACTCCTGTGACTAGGGGACAGGTCGATGATTGGACACTGCGAGTAACTCACCTGTCCCGAATGCTGGAAGACAACGATCGGCAACTTGGGGAACCGTCGGCAACGATGTCGCGGAACCCATACTATACCGAAAGGTATGCCCCTAAGGTTAGGGAACTCATAAAAAAATGCATGGAGATGTTAAAATCCATGCCAATAAAAAGCGTTCAAAGCGAGGACGAGTTCTTCAAAGACGATCAGAACAAAAATTCTGTACTAAAAATAAAGTTTGAATTCGCAATAAGCGATTGGGAAGAAAACTTTGAAGCACTTCTTGCTGGAACAGGGAATCCAGAAGAAGTAAATAAGTGTTCAAATCTGGCGAAAGATTTGTTTTTGCAATATCTTGAAGTTCATTCGGAGGATGAACTAACATACAAGTTTAGGCAGTTGAGGAAAGAATTAAACTCACTACCGAAAAGTAACACTCCTGAAAAAAAAGGGGAAGAGAAAATAAGAGTAAGAACTTTTAATCTCCCTCAAATTGAAATTCCAAGCTTCTATGGGGATTATACGAAATGGAATATGTTCAAAGAACTATTTCATGAATTAGTGGATGCCGAAAACATATCTACAGTGCAAAAAATGTGCATATTAAAATCTAAATTGAAAGGATATGCGGCAACAATAATAGAAAATCTTCCAGCTTCAGAAGAAAATTATTCAGTAGCATGGAAATTGCTAAAAGAAAGTTTTGATAATAAAAGGGCCATCACTAATATTTACTTTAAAAATTTGGTAGATGCACCATTTACAAATTCAGCTGCTAATAGTGTAAAAAAATTAAAGGAAGTTATCGAAGAAAGCGTGCAAGCGTTAAAAGCAACTAAATTGTCAGTAGAAGAAATCCTCCAAGCATTACTTAATTTTTTGCTTGTAAGAAAGCTAGATGACTCGCTGAGAATGAAATATGAATCCTCTTTAAAAGATTCTAGAGAATTGCCGAGACTAGATTCATTATTACAATTTCTCGGAAAAGAGTTCTTTGCATTAGAAGCAAAAGAAAATGCATTCGGAATGAAGAAAATCGAGCAAAATATTAAAAAAAGTAATGCTACAGTGGAAACAAAATGTGCAATGGATTGCGGAATGCCGCACTATTTAAATCAGTGTACAAAATTTCAAAATTTATCCATAAAAGAAAGGTGGATGATCATAAGAAATAAAAATTTGTGTAAAAAATGTCTGAATGGTGGACATGCATTCAAAAATTGTAACTTCAGAAACTGCCGCTTTTGCAATTTAGAGCATCATTGGATGCTCCACAGAGACACAAACGCGGTTGCTAGTACAGTGAACAGTGAAAATTTAAATAAAAATAAATATGTGCTTTTATCCACAGCCATAATTAAAATAAAGAATTCCGAAGGAAAATTCATAAACGCAAGGGCATTGGTAGACAATGGATCCCAAGTGAATTTAATCACAAAGCAATTAAAAAATAAACTAAAATTAAAAAGTGAAAATAGAAAAACCACTATAGAAGGTATTGGGCAAAATATTTCCAACATACAGGAGCGAGTGGTTACAGAAATTAAATCAAAAGTAACAGAATACCAAACACATATTGAAGCACTCGTGGTAGAAAAAATTATTTCACAGCTGCCATCTACTAAAATAGAAAGTGGAGAACTACCTAATAGAATAAAATTGGCTGACCCGAAATTTGATACTCCAAGCAAAATTGACGCATTACTTGGAGCAGAAATTTATCATTGTTTACTAAAACGTGGCCAAATAAAAATAAAAAATCAAGAGTACAGTTTCCAAAACAGTGCATTAGGATGGTTGGCTGGAGGAAAAGCAGATATAAAATTATCTCCCAGTCATTGTGGAGTGCTAACTTATAACAGTGAAAATTTGGATAACCAGTTAAGGAAGTTTTGGGAACTTGAAGAAATAGATACTCAGAAAAAATATTTAACAAAGGACGAAAAAAATTGTGAAAGTCATTTTAATGAAAATACAAAGCATTCAAAAGATAATGAATTTTGCGTGGCGCTTCCATTTAAGAATGATCCAAATAAATTAGGAAATTCTGAAATCATTGCTAAGCAACGATTTTTTGCATTAGAAAGAAAATTAGACAAAAATATTTTATTGAAAAATCAATATAAAGAATTTATGGATGAATATATTAATTTAGGTCATATGGCATTAGCAAACGATGTCGACCAGTTGAAGCAAAAATATTTTCTACCTCATCATTGCGTATTGAGGCCAGAGAGTAGTTCAACTAAGTTACGTGTTGTTTTTGATGCGTCATGCAAAACCACTAGTAACAATTCTCTTAATGACTTACTATATACGGGTCCAAGACTACAAGAAGACGTATTCAATATATTGCTCCGATTTAGAAAACACAAATATGTAATATCTGCAGACATTGAAAAAATGTTTCGACAAATTTGGATAACAAAAGAAGATCGTAAATACCAATTAATATTTTGGAGAAATTCCAAAGAGCAGCCGTTGAAAATATATGCTCTAAAAACCGTGACATATGGTACGTCAGCAGCTCCATACTTGGCTACAAAATGCTTAGAAGTCATTGCAGATAGAGAGAAAACCAACTATCCAAAAGTTTCAAAAATTATAAAAGAAGATTTTTACATGGATGATTTAATGACGGGTAGCAATGACATTGAAGAATTAAAACTTTTCCAAAATCAAATAATCAAGATTTTGCAAAATTATGGTTTTCCGTTACGGAAATGGTGTTCAAATTCCAAAGACCTACTTGAAGGGATACCAGAAGAAAATCAGAGAGGTAAACTAGATTTTGATCAAGAGGAGCAATGTAAAGTGAAAACACTAGGTTTAACTTGGAGCCCTATAACCGACACCTTAGTTATAAAATGTCAAGGAATAAAAGACGTAAAACCTACCAAAAGAAATCTTCTTTCTGAAATTTCAAAATTATTTGACCCATTAGGCTTAATAAACCCAATTATTGTTTCTGCAAAAATATTGTTGCAACAATTATGGAAATTAAAAATAGACTGGGATCAAACTTTACCAGCAGAAATCATTAAAACTTGGAATGATATAAGAACTGATTTTAATTCACTGAATAATATAAAAATACCGAGATATTTGATGAGTAAAAAAGCAGAGACAATGGAAATTCATGGATTCTGTGATGCCTCAATGAAAGCTTATGGCGCGGTAGTATACGTAAGGTCAATCAGTAATGAAGGAAAGGTGACATCACGCTTAGCAGCAGGTAAATCGCGAGTTGCACCAATCAAGGTAGTTACATTACCGAGATTAGAATTATGTGCAGCAGTTTTACTTACTGATCTAGTAAAACAAGTTCTAATAAGCTTGAAACACAATTTTAATAAAATTCTTTATTACACAGACTCAACCATCGTACTGAGCTGGCTAAATTTGGACCCAGCTACTCTTAAAATCTTCGTAGCCAACAGAGTAAGCCACATTCAATCCTACAGCAACATCGAGGATTGGAATCACGTAAGATCGGAAGAGAATCCTGCCGACATGCTATCCAGAGGAATGTCGGGTAAGGAGTTAATTGATAATAAATTTTGGTTTTCTGGTCCGCATTTTTTAGAACAAAAGAAAATTGAAATTGAAAACTTTAAGGTAGACAAAAATGATGGTATTCCAGAATTAAAAAGTATAAAAAAAGTGGGGGTACTAATAAACAAAGATTCCCTGTGGGACAAAATAAATCATAAAAGTGATTTCAATTACCTTCAGAATGTAATTGCTCAGATTTACAAATTTACTCAACTCTGCAAGAAAACAGAGTTGCTTTCCTGGGGAGAATATAGAAAAATAGCCTTGAATGTAATTATTAAAAATGTCCAAGGTAAACATTTTAAGGAGGAAATAAAAAGTTTACAAAAGGGTAAAGTAGTAACCTCAAATTCAAAATTATCCACACTGTCTCCTTTCCTAGATAATGACGGATTAATAAGAGTAGGAGGTAGAATAGAAAACAGCAAGCTGTCCTTTGAAGCAAAGCATCCGATTCTACTTCCGTATGGAGACAAATATGTAGAACTGATGATAAAAGGCCTTCACATTAAACATTTACATGTAGGACCTCAGGGATTACTAGCAATCATAAGGCAAAAATACTGGCCATTGCGTGGTAAACAATTGACCACAAAAATAGTAAGGCTGTGCTACAGATGTTTTAAGGTTGAACCAAGGGCACTACACCAATTGATGGGAAATTTACCAGAAGACAGGGTAATTAAAACTAGGCCATTTTTAAATGTAGGAATTGACTTCCTAGGCCCAATACATATTCACCATAAAATTAGAGGGAAAAGGTTCGACAAATCTTATATATGTGTATTTGTTTGTTTTGCAACAAAAGCAGTACATTTGGAAGTCGCATCGGACCTTAGCTCTGCAGCATTTTTAGGTGCCTTGAAGCGTTTTGTAGCCAGGCGAAGTTGCCCTATAAAAATATATTCTGATAACGGCACCAATTTCATTGGAGCAGCAAATAGTCTAAACGAAATTTACAAAATGTTTAAAAATAAAACTCATACCGAGGAATTAGAAAGGTTTTGTGGAGAAAGGCAGATTAAATGGATAAATATACCAGCTAAATCGCCACACATGGGCGGATTATGGGAAGCCGCGGTGAAAAGCGTGAAAAAGCACTTCTTTAGAGTAACCGAAGGCACAATGACATTCGAAGAGTTAAATACCCTGATGGCACAAATCGAGGCAATACTGAATTCAAGACCTTTAATTCCTTGCTCTAATGACCCAAATGACCTGAACATTATAACTCCTGGACATTTCATAATAGGAGAACCAATGGTAACAATTGTTGACAACTGTGACAACAAATGTTATCAAGGGCTGAGGGACCACTGGAAGGCAGTGGAAAAGAATAGTCTAGAATTTTGGAAAATATGGTCTAATGAATACCTAAACGAGTTACAAAGAAGGTATAAATGGAAAAACCCCGCGGAAAATATTATAACTGACACTCTTGTACTTCTGAAAGAAGACAATGTCCCTCCAATGAATTGGAGGAGGGGAAGAGTAGAGAAAGTAATTCTCGGAAAGGACGGAAGGTGTAGAATGGTAGAAGTACGGACCAGTAATGGCGTGTCGACGAGAGCGATACACAATATTTGTCCGTTTCCTACAGAAGAAAAAGATGTAGCAGAAAAAAAATATACTTTAAAGAAAGATTACACAAAAAATCAAAATAGGAAGCCAAACAAAATAAAAAATAAAAATTGTTTATTGACTATACTCACATTCTTGTTAATTTTGCCCAGTATTAACTCAGAAAATGTACTAATAGAGAGATTTAGAGATAAGTCAGGTATCTTATTCGAGCCAAGGGGAACAATCGGGTTGACGAAGACAGCCTGGAACGTAATAGTATATGTCAACCTGGAGGATTATCGGCAGTACAAACACACCGTTGACGCGGCTATGGAGGAGTTGGAAAAAATAAAGAATTCCACAACTGACGACTTCTATCACTCAGAACCCATCCGGGAATTAGAGGTTAAATACACAAGGATACAGAGGAAACATCAGATAATAATCCTAAATAAATCAGTGAAGAGGCAGAGACTGCAAAGATCAGCACCGTTGTCCTTTATTGGAAGCATGATGCACGCTTTATATGGGGTATTAGATGAAGATCACGCTGAGGAGCTATCGCAGAAAATCGAAAAAAGCTACCAAAATGAAAAATATTTAGCTGAGCTTTACCTAAATCAGTCATCGATTCTAGACAGGACCGTGGATGTAATGAAACAAGAAAACGAAGTGATTTGGA